GAGGAAGCATAGAGCATACTGCAGATCGGCAGGGAATACTCGTCAGGCTGGCACTGGTTACTCCAGGAGGTTTATTAAACACAGGTGGCAGGCTGCCCTGAACTCCCAGTTTCAGATCTCTGGGGAGACCCAGCAGTCTGCATTTCTTCATAGGCTTCACGGGGCCACAGTGCTGCTGGCTCAGGTCCTGCTCTTTGGCAATCACTGGGCTGACAGCAGGCATCGAGATTGAGTTGTTCATCCCGGGGCACCAGCCCACCCTTTGTTTGACCACAGCAGAATGGATAAGGGTGTCCGCTGGAATGTTCCTTTAGGTCATAGCCAAATGACCCCATCAAAACCTTACTCCTATAGCTTTGAATCTGTTCTGTATTAAAATGCAGATGTTCGCTGAAGGAGGGATCAGGAGTTCATTCAACAAACATTTGTGGAGTGTTTTCTACAGACCAGGGGTTGTGCTGAATTCAAGGGATTCAGAAACAACAGCCAGGACGCATTATCACACGAAGCAGATTCCATAAGAGTTTTCACTGGAGTTGGGGAGATAAGTTAGTATTGTGAGTGTTCTTATCGGTATTTACAGTTCTGAGTTAAGAAGTAGCGACACTTGTTTAAAAATAAATGGCGGGCTTGAGGGCCATTGTAGGTACCGGCCCCTGTCTCCTGTGCAGTCATGTGTCATCAACTAGATTGTGTCTTGCTCCTAAAATCAGTGCTAAGGCAGGAGGTCCCACCCAGGGGCAATCGTGGCTTCCTTCTGTGGAAAAGGAAGAGACTTGAGAGTGGGTTCCATCAATGGATGGGACCTAGGGAAGGGCGCTTTTCATCACCTTGCATCGGGACACCACCGTACTGTTTACAAGGGGCTCTCCTATTTAGTATTTCTGTAACCCATCCTTTGGTAGCCGCCATGAAAATGTACAGGAAACGGAAGAAAGGAAGCAGTTAGTTGACTTACCAGGAATAGAAGGTCAGGGACCCTGGTTACACGTCGTGTAAAAAAGCGTGAATGGTAAATTTATATTGTGCATATAATGTGGTGTGCATTTAGATTTCATAGAGTTTACAGATTGGTAGGGGGGCTCCTATACTCAACTTGGCTCGGCCATACTTGAACATCTTCCAATAGCTGTATTGAGAGGGTCAATCTGAAACTGAACATAAATGGGAGGATAAAGATTTAAATGTGGTCACATAGCCAGACGGAAGGGGCTCCCGCCCTGGATGGCACAGCCCAACACATATCTGCTCTTCCAACTCTTCAGCCTAGCAGATCCAGCCTTGAATTAGATCTTCGTGGGCACAGCCAGCCTGGTCCTGTCATCATTGCACACCAGCTATGACAACCTCACCTAAACCTACCTCAAGCCGCTTTGTCTTCCAGGGTCCCACAGCTGCTTGCTTGTATCTAGTTGTGACACCACAAGGAAACTGGGACTTTCATAACTAGGGACATAACCTCTAGGACAGGAACAGAGAGCGTGTTCTCAGGAGAGCGCAAGCCACAGATTTACAACAACAGACTTAAAATAGCAGTGTGTTCCTGCGACAAACTTTTCTTTGGCATAAAGCGACTGTCATCGAAAAGCTTGCTGTCTTCTCAGAAGCGAGTTTATATTAAATATTTGCATATGGAATCTTTAAAAAAAAAAAAAGGTTATATTTGGAATCTTAACCCCCTCCCCTGCAAAAAAAGAACTCCTAGGAGTCAAAAGTACGTTATGTTAACCAGGGACTATAGGAAGGAGCGTCGGGAAATTTGATAAAGAATGGTAATTTCAATAATGCAGTGGCCATAGTTAAAAACAAGTGTGGAGCCTTTGAACATGGCTGGCGGTCAAGTGTCCTCACCAGAGCAACAAAGACGCATGTCAAGTGCCACCTGAGGTAGACTATCTAGAGTGTGTACTTGTTGTAAGACATTGGTTATGCTCCATAAATACATTATTTCATTGGCCAATGAAAATAAGTATGTCCAGAGGCCAGTTTGTCATGACAGTCTGTAAACCCAAATTCTGGTTGTGTTTTTATCAAACTATAAGCGGGAGTCCGTTCTCTGGGCTGAGAGCATGGCCAAGACCATTGAACCTTTATTCTTGTCATCTGTGCAGGTTTGCCTATTTCGGGCCTACCTATGAAGCCCGGGGGAGGGGGTGAGGGTTGGGGGCCCTCCTGCCTTTGAGGACAGCGTGTACCTCATTCCTGTCATCCGGAAACCTGCCTAACTTGAGGGCTTTGCATGGTGTTTTCTGAGTAGGAACTACTCAGGTCTAGAACACCATCCATCCGAGGCCCCTCTATCACCGAGGCCCCAACTCCACAGATGAACAGAAACATTTCTTGGCTTTTGCTTCTCCGATCCTTTGTTCTGTACCAGGTAGGGAGGTGGGGTGGAGGTAGGAGGCTGCAGGTCCGGGCCAGTTGGCGAAACCTGATACGGAGTAGATTTGGTTTATTAGACTCACCTTCTTAAGCTCGCTGGTCTAAGCTACCTGATGTTGCTGCTGTGAGCACATACTGGCAAACAGACAAGCAGGAGCCTGCCTGGCTCCCTCAAATATCTTATAATTGAACTCAGTGGCATGTCGTAGCTTTCTTCGTTGCCCATTTCCCCAAACGCACACACGTGCGTAACTTGCACTAGCACTTTCACAAACAAATCAGAGATCAATACAGGTGAAAAAAGCACTTCTCACCATCCCAGGAGAAGACATCTTGCTAAATCAAGGTAAATGACCAAATAAACTTATGGGACACCATTGTGGTCCCTCCCTCCCCCGTGAGAGACGTAACAGCTCTCTCCAGGGTGGAGAAGCCCAACTGCATGGAAGTCTGTTTGGCTTGGTCTGCTCTGGTTAACTGATTTTCACCAATGCAAGGACTCACTTTTTCTGGGAACACTTGTGAACCACTTAAGAATTACTGCCCTCTGAACTTGCTTGGTGTGTGCTGTTTGAAACACAAGTCCGTGTCACCAAGTGATGGGATAACTTTCTCATAAACGCATCCTCGGGTGGGCTCATTGTACAAGCGTCATCAGGGGTACTCTTGCAAGCGAGCCCAGATGATGGAGATCAGTCACTTAATGTGACCTCTTGATGTGATCGAGAGTCGGGTTAGACAGGAATGTTTGAGGCCGCCAGCCATAAAGCTTCCATGGCACACTGTGTACAGAGAGTCCACTCCAAAGTGATTGGAACTGCAGTGAATGCAAAGAAAACCCAGTGACAGACTCTCTCCGAACCATCAAGGGTTAATGCTGTACATCCATGTGACAAGCATCGTAGTATACTGGGCTTGTGTGTACCAGCATCATGCAAACCCATGCATCTCTATGTGACAAGCAGTGTAGTGTACTGGGCTTGTATGTACTAGGATCATACAGACCCATGAGAAACACATCACACTGTAAAGTTGTGCTTGGAAGTTAAATGTGACTGAGACCTCATCCAGCCCCAGGAAGCTTTAAGTCCCATTCTAATTTTATGACAATGTCTTGTGTGTCCCTGTCATTGGTAGAAACCTTTTTAAAGGTTTAGCATGACTAATCTATTTCCAGTCTTCATGAAGTACCCTTAGCTATAGATTTTTAGAAGGACATCAAGGCTTGTGTTACATACAATGTCTGCAGATGGTTAATTTACTTTTATTTGTGTTTATCTTGATGTTCAATTTCAGTGTTACTAATTTCATGATCTTTGAAGAATGAAGACAGATGAAATCTGCTGATCTTAGACATCTGAGCTTTAACTTATAGTATTGTTATAGGCATGCCTTTTAATCTTCACATTCTAAATACACGAGAACAGTTTTTTTTAAAGTTTATTACATTTTTAAACATCACTGTGTGAGGGGTGTGTGGATGTCAGAGAACAACTTCCAGAGTCAGTTCTCTCCTTGTACAGTCTGGGTCCCAGAGATCAAACTCAGGTTGTAAGGCTTGGCAGCAAATGTTGTTACCCACTGATCCGTCTCCCAGCCTAGAGAGGATAATATTGGGTTGTGTCTCAATTAAAGCTAAACGGAGCCTGATTGAAGTTAACTTGCATTTAACCCGTCCTAAGTTCAATTGGTCAACAAGCACTTCTTGGGGTCCTAAAAGATACCATGAACTAAGACATCTTCGAGACAGAAGCTTCAAAGAATTATTCTTAGCTAATAGTGTGTTGCAGGGGAGATAGGCACCAAGCAAATAGCAGAAGCAAAGAAGCATTCCGAGTTCAGCAGAAATCAGGGGGCCCAGTCTACCTACTCCAGCATCAAATCTCTGTAAGCTCAAAAGAACTCAAGGAATAGGGAACCCATACTTCATCCAAAATGGTGTTATCTCCATTTCGTAGGAGAGACACATCCCTACAGTTGTTTAGAGCCTTCCCAACAATAAAATCAATGACCTAAATGTGAAATTAATTGGGAACCACATTTCTAATACACTGTTTGGTGATTAAGCACATTAGATGGAATTGTTTCAAAGGGCCTAATTACTGTGTCTGCCACACTCATCTGTCTGAGTCACTCCTAACTCTTGGAGTATTGCCTAGATCAGTCTGTGTAGAGTTTCAGTTGCTCCTCCCTCCTCCTCCTCCTCTTCCTCCTCCTCCTCCTCTTCCTCCTCTTCCTCCTCTTCTTCTTCTTCCTCCCCTTCCTCCTCTTCCTCTTTGTACCACTTTTCTTGTGATATTGAAAGCTCTGAGGTCTAAACTATACTTCCACAAACTCTAAATCTGAGCTTAGAGGATAGGTCAAGTGTTTGATTCCTCTGAGCTTGGACACAAGTTCATGTCATACTGTTTTGCAGTTTCATGGTTTAAAATGGCCTTGGAGATCACTCTTGCTGACACCAGCCCTCAGGGAGTTCTTCCTGTGTTTAGCTCTTGGGGTTTTGGGGATTTTTTGTTTGTTTGTTTGGTTGGTTGGTTGGTTAGTTTTTGTTGAATGGACTTTACCCTGACCCTTTGAGTGAATGAAGTGATCTGATTTTGCTAATCATTTAATTTCAGAATTTAAAAAAGACGAAGGAAGGAAAACACCATCCTGCTCAAATACAAAGATCTAAGAGGGTTGTCTTCCCACATCCTCCAAAGCTGTGAGCATCAGAACTAATATTTTCCCAAAGAGTGCCATTTTACTGAAAGAGGCGTGTATCTGCGAAGCAGTCAAGAGACTAGAACCCTGGGAGCCAGAGATGACAGTGAGCACGCGCTGCTTGTGGCTCACAGTCTTCCAGTGGGGCCTATCGATCGGTGACTGACTTCCTGCCTGCTGAGACATTCCCCCTCCCCGGTTTCCTGGATCAGACTGCACTAAGGAATTCATTACTTACCTTCAAACTTACATGTTGGCGTTTTCACAGCAGTTCTTTTGAGATCATTGAGACTTGCATTGGTTTCGTCCTTTAACCGAGAGGAACAGAGCCCAGAGCAGTTCTCATCATGGCCTTGAACGTTGCCCCCGTGAGAGACACGAAGTGGCTGACGCTGGAGGTCTGCAGACAGTACCAGAGAGGAACGTGCTCACGCTCCGATGAAGAATGCAAGTTTGCTCATCCCCCAAAAAGTTGCCAGGTTGAAAATGGAAGAGTAATTGCCTGCTTTGATTCCCTCAAGGTAAGACAATCATTTTACACGTCACCTCCAGGTTGGTCGAGTTGGGCTCGCCAAGAGAACACTTTGTGCTGAACTCTACTGTATTTACCATTCAGATTGGTTCTGTGTCCTTTGTGATGGCTACTGGGAGGTTTGTGTTTTGTTTCCACTGAAACTTATTTATACCAGGCATACAAATTTTTTTCCTCGTATCAGTGTTTAAATTAAAAATACATGATGGTATATTTCTGGTCTGGTTTGACATTCGGGTGCCCAAGAGTTTCAAATCAAAATCAGGCCATTGACAATAGCAGTACATGTTTTATTAACACTTGATCTTCTCCGGGTTGCATGAAGGTGAAGAAGCCCATCCTGTCACTCTCATGTGCCGGTCACTCTGGCTCATATCTCTGATTCTCTTCTAGTGGCTTCTATTCTTGACTAGGGCCTTCCTAAAATGCTTCCTGAGAGGGTTTTCATTCTCTCTTAAAAATGTTTTATGGCTAGCAGAAATTACCGAGTGCACACTCAAAACTGGTTCTTGGAGGACCTACTGTCTGTAAGGAACATCATGAAAGAAGCCAGTGTGATTCAGATATCCACTTGATGAGCTCATGTCTGGAGGGAAAGTAGGGCACAGTGGCAGATAATTGTGGTGCAGGAATACACATGGAACACTTCCATGAGAGACCTCAGAAGAGAGCTGGCTTCTACCTGACAAGAAATGCTTGTGGAGCCTGACCTGCTCCAATCATGTATTGGGTTGGGTAGAGTTTGGGTTGAAGAAATGGGAGAAGTCAATGAAAAACTATACTTGGGAAAAAGTGGGTTGATTTGACTGAGAGCTCTTGGAGGTTTACTGTAACCCTAAAATCACACTGCTTTGAATTCCAGGTCGGCTTAGGTAGTCTTAAGGGCATAGTGACATTGTCAATAATGGAGATGGTTAAGACATGCAGCTTGATGTTTCTGACTATGAAAAACTCCAATATGCTTACCAATTTTAAAAAATATTATGGGTGCTCTTGCTCTTGGTGCCCTGTCTGAGAAACCATGGTGCTATGAGTTTTTGGAAGTGACTCGACCCCATTAGGTGTTGAAGAGACTGGGTGCTTAAGGTGATTAAATTACATGTCAAAAATTATGTCTCAAAGCAGGGACATAGCTCAATTTGTAAAGGCCTTGTGAGGACCTGGGTTTATGCCTAGAACTCACATGAGGGGAAAGAAGGGAGGTACTTCTAATCTGGTCAGTGCCTGGGAAGTAGAGAGAGGGATGTCTGTGGCCAGCACAGCCTGGTTAGCAGGTTCCAGGCCATGAGGGCTGCTGCCTTGACAGAAGGTGGATTGCATCAAGGAACTACACTCCAGATTGTCCTCTGGACCCATATGCACAGCACACACACATACCCATACACCCACCACACACACTCACACATGTATACCATACACACACACACACCATATACTTACCACATACACACTCACACATACATACCATACACATACACACGCTATATACACATAAATACCACATACACACCACACACATACATGCACACACACACAAACACATACCGTATACATTGGAATACACAAATTTCGTCTTAAAAGACTTATAATTCTAACTTATCACTCTTGTAAACATGCCTTCAAATCAGTGTTAATATTTATGTATCTTGAAAAAGGAAATTCTGTCTTCATAATAAAAGCAGAAGAACCTATTTTTAGCCCAAGAGAAGAAAAGCTTGAGAAATCAGATGGGAATTCCATATACTAAGCTACCACTGTTTCAGACCCTTTCATCAGAAAAGGCTTTTCTGACTAGACTAAGCTAAAGCTGGACAGATAAATCATAATTGATTTGAACTGTGATAATTTAAATTCATTTGTGTATTTGTATTTATTTATTTTTCCTTTCATTGAAAAAAGAAAGGCAGTCTGAACTTACCCTTTCATTCTTCACCAGTGGAAGTGTTTCCCGTAAAAGCAGTGGCTATTTAAAGCTGGCTCATGAAAGCATCAGATAGAAGACAGTATCACTCAGTTACCCAGGGGGGATGACACCACCCACATACCCGCTGATGACATCATGCATATAAAATCTGTCATATCAAATACACACTCAGAAGGGTTTTAACAAATGCACAAGACACCTGTCACTCTCGAGGTATCACTAAGGACCCCAACCAGGAGTCACCCAAGGTCACCCAGCTTGCCAGTGGCAGAGGAGAGCTACACTTTAGGTTTTTGCATCTAGAAAACTACAGTGACATCTTTGACTTATGTGACATAATTGCTTCTGCCCTCCTGACATCATTTTTTGACTTGGATGACGTAATTGGTTTTACTCTCCTGACATCTTTTTGCTGTTTTTGTTAGTTTTCATTTCTTTACTTGTTTAAGTCAAGGTGTGCTGGTTTGTTTTAATGTTACTACTAGAAATACCCAGTGAAGGATCAAACAGATTATAGAAATGGGTCAGAGATGAGCGTTTAACTGCTAAGGTCATCTATAACTCCTTTTGTTAATCTAGCCTTCTCTAGTTGAACAGATAACATTAAGTGTCACTGTTTTTGTAAGTTTCTGAAAGTTAGAGAAATGTAGGGGAAATATTCCTGACTACCCAAGGTATAGTAGTCTCCCTTGACTACCTCTGAGTAAAGTCTCCCAGCCACAGCCTTAATCCTCACAATTCACCACAGTACCGTGGGTTCATCAGAACTACAGTGGGGTCCAGAATCATGAAGGACATTAGGTTTAGCACAAAACTCAAGGAAGAAGCCACGAGTCTGTTGAGCATTAGTCAAATGAAAAGAGACTTTCAGATTCATTTTCAGAAGCGTCTGGCGTACCCTCTTTCAAGTGTGGGAGCATCCCAGGATACTGCTCCAGGCTGTCAGTCCCGTTTGAGAACTGTGGACTTGCAGGTGACTTCATTTGAATGTGATGTCATATACGTTAGAGTTATCAAACCGTGAAGAATGTAAAAGGAGCCCTCCAGGCACAGGTGTAAGATGGGCCTCTGTCTAATCACCTGCTCACCGTCCTCCCTGCCTTCCCTGGGTTATTTATGACTTAATAACTTTCTGCTCTCAGCAATAGTGAGAATACATGCTGGTGAAAATGACTGAGGTCTGCACAGCCGCCAACACGCTGGCGTCCTCATCTTTTTAAGATTAGAAGTCCCTACAACAGGACACACAGCTTACAGAGGCAGAAAATAGTAACTCAAAAAGTGATGAGGCTAATCCCCCCCGAAGCCGCCTATCTTTCTTTCATTTAACACTGGTTGATCCTCCCTTATCCAGACCTTCAAAGTACGAAACGTTTTAATCGCGGACATAATTCCATCAGTAGAAAATTCTACGTCTGACTTCACAGGATGAGGTACACTCAGAACGTGGTGAGAAAAAGAAAGATTTAAAATCGGGATTTAAAAGTGTGCTGGTAGGCTGAAGCATTTGGGGTACAGAGATCTGTGTTAAACAGGACAGCATTGTTCAGAGATGCCGTCTGTAACAGAGACGGTGGGAAGCAGCTCTCGGCGACCCCTCCCTGCCCCCACGCTTCTCTTCAGGAACGTTCTTCTAGCTCCTTGACTCAGTTCCCTCCAGTTTAGAGTTGATGCCATTCCTACTTCCTGAGGTAACATGTTCCTTCTGATTTATTCCCCACATCCTTATGTCCTAACCCAGGGCTGAGTACATCAGAAGGTAGCAATGCTGTTCCTCTGCCTTCCAGAAGTTTCCCAGTCCTTCTCCGCATTGATGGGCCGAAAGGGAAGTTGTGTCTAAAGTCAGGATACCCAGGTGGGTGAGGGATGGCAGCAACTCAGTCCTATATATCAGTCACAGCATTAAAAAACAATAATACCAAGACTTGAGATTTTGATGCCATTTGCTAGATGTTTTATAAGCACCGTGGGGTGTTTGTAACCATGAGAGGAATCTCTGCTGCTGTGTCAATAAAGGGACCACATACTTTTTTTTTTCTTGTCATATTTGCACATGTGGTTAAACTTTCCGTAAGTACTCACTGAAACAAATGTGTGGGCATTGAAAAAAAGTTTGCTGAGGTGCTTGGAAGTAAAGCCGTACGTACAGAAAGATGCTTTAACAAAAGTTGTGTTGGAAAAACACATCGTGGTGTGTCTGACAGTGGTGTTTCTATGTTGTATGTCGGCTGCTGTCGATGTGAGAGTATACCGGCAGCTGTGGCTTCATTCTGAAAGCTCCAGATCAGTTCCGAACCGATGTCACATGCGCGCACGCACTCACGCATGCGCACGTGCACGCGCATGCGCACACGTGCTTTCCTGAAAGTTTATATTCTGGATTGTTTCACCAGTTAGGGTGACTCCATAGAATCTAGGCTGGACAAAATTGTTTTCTGGGCAGAGAATTCATCTACTGCCAGGCTCTGGCCTTGACCAAGTTAACCCACCTCTGAGGGTCAACTTGGTGATCCTTGAGCTGCTTTTCCCCAGGCTGCAATGCCTGAGAATTTTCTATTCAGATTCTTTTCCTTGCAACTGTCAGGAATCAATCTGGGCTATTTTGCAAATAGGAACATCTGGAAAGAAATACGTGAATTAAAGTTTAATGTTTATTGAGACTAAGGGTTTCAGTTTTCTTAAACAGTTGAATTGAGCTTTTAAGTGGGAAACCAGCTAATAAAATCGTGTTGCTAATTTTGGGTGAAAATATTCCCAGAGTACTTGGGAAATTTTGTTTACACAATTTTTAGAGACTTAGATATTACCTTTCTAAATAAAAATTAGTTGACGGGCTGGGGAGTGAGTATCACACAAGGACTCAAGTTCAGATTCCCAGTGCCCGTATGAAATCCAAGCCTGAGTATGACCTCGTGGCTCCTAACCCCAGCACTGGAGAGGCAGACATGGGTGGGGCTCGCTCACCAGCCAGCCTGGCTGAAATGGCAAGCTCCATTTGCACACGAGTATATTGGCATCCCTCCGGCAGACGCGCGTGCGTACACACATACACACACACACACACA